AGAAATATTGCTTATATCTTATATGTTATGATGTTCAAAAGGATGAAATTAAGATTGTAACTTGTAAGATGAGATATAAAAATTCTCCATTTTACCTATAACCCCATCTTCCTCCTTTACAAAAAAGAATTAGACCAAAATTAAAAAAAAAGAAAAAAAGAAAAGTAAAAAAAGGGGTAAAACGTTACTTTTATTCATTGTGGTATTCAAAAATTATTAATCAACTAAAGTGTTTCTTCTTCTGAGAAAATTAACTTAATCAGCTAAAGTGTGCTAGTAGTAACCAACAAATAGTTTGGAACTCCATTTTTTCCTATCAATTTTTTTCGTCAATTAATCCATTGAACCTACGTTTTGGTTATTCTGTTAATTTTGTGTTAGCTACTTCTAGAATATCAAATAAGTAAAATAAACAAAAGAAAAAAAGAAAAAAGGTCCAAGGGGTTGCTTAAAGTATAGTGGAGGCAAATTAATGGAGAAAGCAAAATGCTGCACATTTAAGAGTTCAAAGTTGATCATAAAAGAAATATAATAGGCAAAATTAAAATGACCCAAAGACCCAGAAACTATATTCTCCAATAATTTTAATACCAAGATTAATCCCAAGACATAGTAAATGATTGAAAAGAGGAGTTGGCTTACGAATAGTAATAGTCATGGTCCCCTATGGGCACCATGAGTAGGGTCAACTTGATGCATTGGTGTTGTACAAATAGAGTTGGTTGATTTTGTTAGCTTACGTGGAAGCAATTGGAAGCTGGTAAAGTTGCATGTCTCTCTTAAAAATGGTGCAAATGTGCTTTGGACATTCCTCAGTTCATATACACATTCCTCAGTTCTCTCACCATCTCACGGCCGGCCTCTCTCAACATCGAAGTACACCAATACAATCCCTCTGTTTTCTCCATCTCTCCGTCTCTGCGTCGCGCTGCACATCGCCCTTTCAATCACCTACTGAGACGCATTCCAGTTGAACACTCTCAAGGCACGCATGAAATAATCAACCGGATAGCTTTGCTTTTCTTTGGTGCACTCTCTAAGTTGCTCTGCACACTTTCCCAAGCCCTCTGCCAATTCATTTTGGCCCTCTCTTATGAGGGCTGCTTGAAGGTGGCTAAAATTTTTTTTTTTTCTGGTATTAGGTAAAGTTAATTCTTGAGGCTTTAGCTTATTTCCTTCCTAGCATGTTTTTTGCCCCAAAAATTTTGCCAAGTTTGAAATCCAACCATAGTTAAAGTTGATAAGTTGATTAAATTTAATAACCATCTTATTGTTTAGGGATGAAATTGATTTGTACCTTGAGCTTTGTTATGTTTGGATTATTTATTCTATTTCCAGTTTTTTAATTCTTTTCAATATGATTTAATAGAAAGCTTCAGTCATGGGTTCGGCCTAATTTTTTTTTTTCAATTTTGATCACTGGAATTACGGTTGACTTAGTTTTAAGGCTCATAACAAATTTCTTGTATTATCTAAGAATTTAAGTAAAACTCATCTCCAGTATCTTTGATACTTCCAAGTGTGGTGTTATTCAGCTCAATAGTGGCTTGGCTCAAACTCCTCAGATGGGGTACAAGCTACATTCATGGTATCATCCTTTTCTGGAATGCTTTTTTGTTTCTATCTAGACATTGATTTTGGTGGGGAAGTCTGTCTATTGAAATATGGGAATGTATCTATAGTGTTGCGGGGAGACCGTATGGAACATGTATTATAGGGCATTTTCCTTTGTTCAAATTTTGATACATAACTAGTTGAACTTCCTAATTACTTCTCTGTTGGTTTCACTTTGTACACTCAGGTCTTCACAAGTTACATGATTTCTTGATCTTTAATGCATTTTCCTATTAATCATGAGAAAAGATGTCAAAAAATAGCAATTGTTTGTGTAGATCTTATCTGACATATGTGAAGGAGCTTATGATTGCTAATGCCTTTGGTAACTTGATATTTCTAAAGAGGATCATATTTACATGGAATGACAAATAAAGGTAGTAGTTTTATCGCACTCTGGTATGATTTGGGCTTCATGGCTGTTCTATTATGAATGTTTACTGCAACAATTAAGATCATAATGCTTTTAACATTCTGCAGATTTACAGCATAACAGCTTACTTGCCAACTGGGGTCAATCCTGCTACTACCACCGGAGCATGCAATTCATCACCAGCTTCAAGTAGCAAAGACTTTATTCATTTTTCAAGGCTATCACCTGCTACAAACAGGCTAATAGCCTAGGTCCATCAGTGCAAGTCTCTACTAGGAATCATACAGCTCCATCAGTGCAAGTATTAGAGCGAAAGCATCTATAGAAAGACTCTTATGTATGTAAATATAATAGTTTACTATTAGTCTAGATAATCTCTATTTCTTTTTAACTTTAATATATTCAACTGCAGCAATACTGTATTTTCAATTTATTATTAGGGTTAATCACATTTTATCCCCTTAAAAGATACCCCATTTCTCAGTTTACCCCCTAACCTTTAATTTTGTTCACTTAACCCCCTTTAGGACAAAATTGCCCTTACATTATTTTGACTTTTCATTTACCTTGTTTTCCTTTCTTTTATTTCTTTTTCTCTTTCTTCTTTATTTAATTCTTCCTCTTTCCCACAAAAATCTTTACCTTAATGATTGAAATTAAAAAAGAGGAATTCCAGAGATCTATCTTCTCCTTAAAAAATTAAAAAAAATATTCAAATCACTTTCCTAAAATATAATTTTTTAGCCTTTCAATTCTTTTAATTTTGGGTTTTCCTCTTTCCTTTATAGTTTCTTATTTTATTCTCAAGAAAATATCTTAAGATGAAATTGTGACCTGATTAATAATCATCAATTGAAATTTGTGACACGTGGCATCATACAAAAAATCAAAATTAGTTTTTGATGTCTTTTAAACCTTCACCCAGAAATATGCAATTATAAACTCAAAACAAAAATTTTCGTTGAAATGGAATTTCTATTGGGAAGGATGAAAGAGAGAAGAAAGAGAAAAAGAAAGGAAAGAAAGGAAAACAATTTCATCTTATGATATTTTCTTGAAAATAAAATGAGAAACTAGAAAGGAAGGAGGAAAACCCAAAATTAAAAGAATTGAAAGGCTAAAAAAATTGTATTTTAGGAAAGTGATTTGAATATTTTTTTAATCATTTAAGAAGAAAATAGATTTTTACAATTTCTTTTTTTTAATTTCAATCATTAAGGTGAAATTTTTTGTGGGAAAGAGGAAGAATTAAATAAAGAAGAAAGAGAAAAAGAAACAAAAGAAAGGAAAACAAGGTAAATAAAAAGTCAAAGTAATACAAGGGCAATTTTGTCCTAAAGGGGGTTAAGTGAGCAAAATTAAAGGTTAGGGGGTAAACTGAAAAATGGGGTATTCTTTAAGGGGATAAAATGTGATTAACCCTTATTATTATCCTTTTGAGCACGTACCAATTGCCATATGGGCAACCTCGCGCCTCGCGCTATGCCCAAAGTAACTAGTAATCCGTTAAAGTTGTACAGCTCCACAAAAGAATAAGGAACAAGTCCAAAAATAATACTACAACTCCAAATCACAAAAACTTGTACTTTACTTAAGAGCTACTAAATAATTTATACCCACATGGCATTTATTAAACAATAATTTTTAAACAAATTTTGCACTATTAATAGTATAACAATTTAGGACTGATGTAAGAATAGTGAAAGTTGAAAATTGAAAAGATGAAATAATATTTCTTTTTTATTTTATTGAAGTGCCAACATCATTTGTCTAAAACCTAAACGAAACCTATCAAATACCATTAGATTAAAAGGTTAAATGAAAGCAACTCCTTAAAAAATTTTAGCGAAAAAATATGATCTTGCTCTCATCCAAGTTTCTCTTTTTAGTATATAAACTAAATAATATGCCATGAAAATTATAGATCATTGTCAATAAAAAATTTCTTTCGAAGGAATGAAAAGTTATTTTCCGTGAAAGAGGAGATATCTTACAAGTTTCGCAGCTCAGAGAGAGGGAGTTCATTGTCTACCCTTCATTAGCTGTCTTAACAGACTTAGTCTATAATAATTCTACGGCAATAGACTTGGAGACTAAGCAAACTTTTCCTCAGTATAACTTGGTGCCAGACTTCTAAGTCTTCCAATGCCTATGATTGCACAAATAATAGCTGCAATAAGACAGCTAGAATGGGCTTCCATAAAGCAAAATATGTGTACAGCAGCAGCCTGCCTGCTGATGGAGAATGTGGATAAACTTAACTGATCATCCATAGCACAGACTTCAAATAGTAGCATGAACCTAGAGCAATGGCTGATAACTTGCCAAACTCAAGTTTCTCACATCATTTTTAAATCTTCCTGCTGTAAGTCAGTCACAGGTTAGTGGTTAACACTTAGCGCAATGGAATTGAACTTAAATGCTTTATGTGCAAACTGAGCATTTGGAGCAAGAATTTAGTTTCTGATTACATAAATGTCAATCTTATGGTCTGAAATGGGATGTGCAATTGGCATTTCCTATTACCTTATGACAATCATTTTTATTTCATGCAACTGAAAGGTGTTGCACACTCTGCTCTAAATACATATATATATATATGTATGTATGTATGTATGTATGTATGTATATTGGCTTTTTCCTGAAACGCACTTAAGTTTCTCCTACACCACTGCTGAGGTTTTCATTTTCTTACGAGAACAATACAACTTTCAGGTACAATCATTTTCTACATTGTTGCTGATGGTGTTTTTCTTCTCATGGATTCTTTTGACCTGTCTGGTAGTTGTTTCGCATTCTCTATCTCTATTCATTTTCTGTGGTCTGTGTCTATACTTCGCTGTCCTGTTTTGAAATTTTCCTCTATTTGTTTTTGGTTTCTGTCTGTTTTTCATGTGCGGGAAAATTCTGTGAACATAATATTTGATGTTTTGATTGTGAGGTTGAAAGCTTTTTTTAGGCTTTGGACGTGACTGATGAGGGGTTATAACTACTTTTTGCTATAATACGGTGCTTCTCAGGTTGCATAATGAGGACTTTTGTTGTTGCTGCCAAATAAAGTTATTTTGGTACTTTTATAGCAGTTATATAACATATGTAATAGCAGTAATGAAATGATAATGAGAACAGAATCCTATGGCTTCTCTACGTCTTATGTCACACCCCTATCTCCTATACTTGGCTTAATTCTGTTACAAGAAAGCAACCAAAGAATCCTAATCCAAACAGAATCCTATGGCTTCTGTACTACAATTAAACCAATTAAACAGAATTCTGTAATGCAATTAAACCAAAGAATCCTAATACAATTAAACAGAATCCCAATAAAAAAGAATTAAACCAAAGAATCCTAATCTCAAATAGAGTACTATGGCTTTTGTACTTCTTATGTCACACCCCTACCTCCTAAGCTTGGCTTAATTGTATTACAAAAAAGCAACCAAAGAATCCTAACCTCAAGCCTAATCCTATAAAGCGTAACAAATTAACCAGGTCGATGTCAATGAATTCATAGTTAAAATCAACTAAAGCAACTTTTCTTGATTGAAGCTTTACCATCCCCCAACCACCTCAAAAGAAAAGCACAAGTTTTCTTAAATAAGCCACAAGCTATGGCCGCAGGCAACGGGAAATCTGTTGAAGGATTTTCAACCATGATTGTCTACATCTTGGCGGCGATCCTAATCTCTATGCCTCGATCAATTTCTTGTTGTAGTCATGAGACTCGTGAACAAGTTAATGAGAATGCTTTGTCCGCTGACGACCGTCGAATTCTGAAGCTGATGATGGACCGCTGTGTGGATCTTTATCTCGATCCTTTTTCATCTTTAGCAGAGAACCTTCTTGAAGATGAACTGATTAGGTTGAAGAAGCTGAATACGTATCGCTGTGGCAAGTTTTACAATTTAATTAGCTGGTCATTCTCAAAAAATGGCAGATTGACACCAGATTATGTTCATCGGCTAAAAGAGGAAGTTGTGCACGAAATCATGCCCCATAAGCTCAAGCTCAAGATGAGACCAGATTATTTCGTCCCTCTACGTAACTATAGTATAAACGACAAAATTGGAGGTATATCGGATGAAGACCGCCTTATCCTCAAGCCAGTGATGGAAGAATGTGTGAAGCTCTACCTTGATGCTGATGCCACAGATTCGGAGGAAATTAAATATGATATTGATTACTGCAATTGGTATTTCTTTGAATTGGGATCTTATTATAGCATCAGCGAACAATGGTCACCTAAATTGGCACCTGAATTTGTTGAAATCATGAGAGAATTTCCCAAGTTATACGGATACTTTATGCTTGATGATGGCTATGAAGAATGGCTATTTCAAACTTGCTTAATTGAGGAAAAACATGGAAAAGCCAATTGTGATGATTTTCGCTTATGGAAGGCTCAACGTGGAATGCTCGTAGATTGATGAACCTCAAAGAGGTAGTCCAATGATATTGCAACTCTATAGGTTTTATTTAAGGATTATAGTAATGGATTTCTTCACTCTGAAATTGTATTTTGAACTACCCAATAGTATTAAATGTTATGATCGGTAATTTTTATTACTTTCTGTTGTTGTCTGCCATACTTGTAAAACTATTATCAATAATTTGTGTTTCAACACAACACCTAGACAGCCATATCTTTAATGTTGGTAGGAAATTCTAAACCCGAAATTTCCAAGTGAAGCCATTCTTGGTTTAATTTCCCTAATTCTCTGAGGTAACTTTTCTCCCTCTGTTTTTTCAGGTTTTTCGAGTCCAATGTCTATTCCTATCATGCATACTTTTGAGATGATGAAGGAAACTGATTATGATTTAGTAATTAGTAGCTATGTTAATTGGTATCAACTTTTTGAAGCGATGATAATGGAATTTTAATTTTTTTTTGTTAAGGTTTTTTGGCATCCCTATACGAAGCCTTCATAGTATGTACCATTCTAGCCACTATTTTGGTAACAATACAAACTGTTGCAGGTCCTACACGCTCATATTCAAGTTGAGTATTCCAGGATTTTTTTTCGTGCACCATATCTCAAGATGTTTGAAAATCTAAAATGGGAAGACATAATGGACTAGATTACTTTCTGTTGTCTATACATTACTGGTCTGTGCAAGCTTGAGAGACCTATTTGAATTGATCACATAACTTTTAGAACTGTCAATGGGTTCGGCAACCCGATCTCGGCTCGTTTGGCCCGATAAAAAGCCCGATGAGTCAGACTTTTTAGTGAACCGGTCTGAGATTGAACCTAAAAATTAGGCCCGAATTAACTATGAGCCAAGCTTGGGCCTGTTTAGGCTTAAACCCGATATAGGCCCGACCCTTTAATTACATATATATATAATATTTATATTTTGATATTATGCATAATTATATACCCAAATATATTATTACTAAATACTAAAAGTATATAAATTACAAAATACAAAAATACATCTGAAGACTCTTCTATGAGCTTTCTTGAGAGCCAATATTAGTAATTGCATAATTGAATCTCTAACTTTTCTTATTGGTTGAGTAAATTTTTGTATCGGCATAATATTGGTTGATTTCTTTTTGATCTAGAAACACAAATCATCAAGTATATTTGGATTCAAGTCACAAGGCTATACAAAAGTTTCAACTTTTAAAGATATATTGGCTTATGACAGCATGTTTTATTACTATTTTTCATGTATTTTAAACGAATTAAATATAAATATTGTTGAAAATTTTTTGGTTTATATACTTTTGAAGAATTATTATTTGTTCATGTTTAGTTTTAATATTGTAGCCTTATAAATGTTAAATTAGTTTTACAACTTAATAGTTATAGTAATTATATTAAAATATAAAATTAAGAGTAATAAGTAAGCTTGGGTTAAACCCGAATAAGTCTCACAACCCGAATGTTATGTGAGTTGAGTATGAGTTTCATATTTTTTAATCCGAAACTCATAATCTGAAACCCGAAAATATTACAAATTAAATGAACTGAGCTCGAACTTATAAAAGTCTGGCTCATTAGACCCGATTTACAACCCTAATCATTTTACACGGCTATAATTGTGAAAGCTTTTGAGGATGCTTTTCATCTAGCAGAATAGTAAAAGCCTTCAAGTTGTATTATTCACCCACTCAAGCTTTTGAATTTACCAAGCTCAGGACTCGTCTGCATTTTTTGAACTATCAATAAGCACGAAATTCATATAAAATATTCATCTTATAGTTGTATAGCAAAGTCAAGTTGTAGTATGCCTAGGATCAAGTAGAGTACCATGTGTGACGGCCCCACCTCCCCCTAGGGCGTACCCCAGGGTTCGGCGGACCGCCTGTCCAACTCTCGCCAGGATTCATTCAAACTCTTCAAAAGAAATAAGAAATAATCTCGAGGATAAAACAAAAAAAACAATTCCCAAACTTGAAACGCATACTTACATTTATTTCTATCTCAAAATAATATATAATCCCAAATAAAACGAAAGTTCCCAATTCTTAATACATCCAACCATATTCAAGCACTAGGGCGAGAACTATTACAAAAAAATTTAAAAGAACTAGACTACGCTAGTCTGTACACGTCTCACGCCTCACTCATATCCCCTGTAAGGAAAACAAATGACGTAGAATGAACTAAAAACCCAGTGAGATTCCAAATAGCAAATTGACCATTATTTAAACATGTAAGTATCATGTAGCAAAGTAGTGAGCATGAAAAGTTCATAAAAGTGAGTAATAACACTTCAAGTAGCAAATCTCAAAATGAGTAAGTGCAAAGTTTTCTTTTAAAACGAAACAATAACACGATAGGTATTAATCATTCTAAAGTATAAAGATACGGATGGCTCTCAGGAGCTAAATTCCCATTGCATCACCAGAGCTTGATCAAGTAATAGTTGACACTCCGTCAACTTTCAAGTAAGTAACCAATCCGGTAGAGCACCACTTAAACTACTTTCCGTCCACCATCCAAACCCCCTACTAGGCCCAAAATCCTCAATAAACACTGGTGGTAATACTCGAGTATACCGATTAGTCAAGGAGATAACACTTCACTGGACATCACTAACTACCCATGGTTTGTTATCTAATCGACCAATCCCTTGCCGGCTCGACTTGATTAACTAGCCAGTGGGGTTTGGGTCTCCAAGAATTCGATGAGATAATCTCTCCAATCAACTAAATCAAGATAAAAGTACGGAGACGGGAATGAAAGGTACCTCCCACTCTGATCGAGTGTGGTACATACTACCGCTCAGTACTTACAAGTTAAGCACAAGTATATCAAGTCAATTGCAATAATAAACGAGTACATATCACATTAGGGCAAGTGCGATAAAGTACAACCTTGCTCGACCATACCAATCACATATCATTCGATCACATTATTCAAGTAGTAAAACCAAGTTTCAAGTTCAATCAGGTATTTGGAAGCACTCACCAAAGATCTAGTATCTTTCAAAAGTCACGTTCAGGTCCAACTCCCTAGTTGGAGTCCAAATCTGCGATAAAATATCATTTGCGAATGTAAAACTCTCTAGAGTTCGAAACATAGGAGTTTAGCTTCAAGAAAATCAAGTAAATGCAACTTGCTTAAGTAGTGTTCACGATAGTTATCAAATTCCGAAAAATTCATGCTCGCTCTTAAACCTTTGAAACGTTGAAGCAATTATACTTGAAATACCATTTGAGTCGAAGAAATGGAGAAAACGTATTTCTATTAGTCGTAAATTTTATTTTTCCAAGGGTACAAGGTCGGCCAAGTTCTAACTTATATACCTCAAATAAAAGAAGACGTAAAAGCCTAGATGGTTCAAGTGGTATTCGCTCTCAAGCATTACTCGAGTCGCAAGTATATCTACCTAACCCTCGAGCGTAAATTTGGGCAGCTCACCCTTTGTATTTACCTATTTTCCAGCCATTTATGGCTTCATTCCTTTTCTCAATCAGTTCCAAAGTCACACACAAAATCATCTCATTTCAATAGCCGTTCAATAGGCTCAAAGTCATACAAGTACAAAACCAAACTAGAAAAATGTCCGGAAATGAGATTTAAGTCATAAAACAAAAGACAGATTTGATGTCGCTTGGCGGAACGGACACCACGGAAGATACACTTATCGGATTGGTGTGAAATTTATACCGTTTCGAAGCTAAGACAAAGAACTACAACTTTGATGAAGACCACTCAGTCCAGTTTGTCGTATATCTAAGTCAAAATTTCAATTTACAAAACCAGAATCTCACATTCGGGCTAGTTAACCGTACTATGCGTAAATGACAATAACTCAGGTTAACGAAGTCCGATTGAGGCGTTTTCAGGTGCGTTGGAAAGCTAAGACATAGAACTACAACTTTTGTGTTTTGGTCAAATGCTAATTCAGTACGGATCAGGGTGAACAGACGTGGTCAGATTGGTGAAATGTCAAAACTGGCCACAGAGCTCTACCTATGGCAGTCAGGGGTATTTTTGTCTTTTCATATGATACCGTTCTCTGATTGAGCTGAAATTTTACAGAAAACTATAAAACATCATTACCTACAACTTTAATGTTTTGAGCTAAGGCTAATTCGGCCCCCATCATAGTAAAAAAAAATCGAGCAGAACAGAACAAAGAAGAATCTCAAATCTGGAATTTGAACTTTTCCACTAGAAATTCATATCCAACAAGTACTCTACCATCAAAACCATCAACTACTAGCTCAATAACATCAATTAAGAGGTATATAACTATAATCAAAGCTGAAAATGTAAACCCTAGCTCCATATCCAACAAATCCATCAAAACCAACCGATTAACCGTCATAAGGCAAGATTAAGAGTTTCTAACTAAACTTTAACAAGATTAAGGGAAATAAATGTGATGGACAGCCAATATACCTCTCAAAGATGCTTGAAAGAGTTATCCACCACCTCTCCTTGTGAAATTTAGCTTCCTAAGCTTCCCAAGCTCTCAATTTGCAAGTTAATCGATTTAGTTTTCTTGTTTTCTCACTAAATCAAGCAAAACCCAAGATGGATTGAAATGGTTTCCTCTCTTCTAGTTCCTCTCACTCTCACAGCTGGAAAGCTGTAAATGAAAGCTCAAATGAAGCTTCAAGAAGGTTAAAATGATAGAAATGAATTTGGGTCAAAGGTGACAAGTGTCACACTTTGATTGGTAGTCAAATTTTGTTCTTTTCTCTCTTATTTTTGGTCCAATATTTCGGCTGCCTTGAGGATATTTTGAGGCTGATATTAATCAATTAATAGCAAGGAGATTAAGATAATAAAGTAGTGTTTAAGTGGTGCACTTACTCGGTAACAAACGGTACCCGTCGGTTCAACTCGTTTTCTCCTAAATCGCATATACTAGGGTTTTATCTTATAATTCACTAACTTATTATTATCACTTCTAATCATACATTTAATATCATCTAAAACTCACTCTTAATCACCAAATTTAGTGCACACATCTCACCAAGTGAGCACACGGTCAAAATACGCAAAAAGCCCTAATTTACCCGAACTAAGAACCTAAAGGGAAAAACCTTGATTCTATGGTGGATTGCACTTACTGAGGGTGTGAATGAGTAGTAAAGCTATTAGAAAGG